AATCGGGCCAAAAAAAAGTTTCGTCACTAGATGGCGGGCCAGAACATGGAAATTAATTGATGAAAAATGCAACTGAATTGCCTGTGACAGACTGTTACAGTGTCTTTTGTAACTGATAGTGAGCTGTTACTCTGTGTTAAATCCTGTAGTAGGACAGTCATTAACAAAAAGCCACATTTGTGTGGCGGTGTCCGGGTTTTACACTGGATAAATTGATAAAGCAGAGTAGTGACACGTAACCTGGCAAGTATCTTCATTTACCAACTTGCTAAAACATACATATGTGGGAGTTGCGGAATGGATAAAAATAATTAAAAAAATAAAAGAGGACTTGAATAAGCCCATTAATGGCATGTTTGAGTCATGCTCTTAACGAACTATGTTTTATTTCCTCTTTCCATATTGTGAATAATAAATGTGTATCATTTTAAAGCCTAACTTATTGTAATAATTATTTGACGTAGCCTACTTTTACACTCAGAATTATTCCTTGGCATCCTCACGTACTAAACTGCATTTTTAAAAATTGTTTGTGTGCTGAAGGTACACTATTATGTCGTGTGCAGAGTGATGTTAACATTCAAGCTAGCTGGTGAAAGAAAATGGCACTATCAAAGAGTCTAAAGAGGAAAGTTGACAGCGAAAATAGGACGTACAAAGTCAAAGAAGAATGGAAAGACAACTATACAGTCATCCTACCTAGTTTTGTAACTGCAAAGCCGGTGTGTCTTATCTGCAACGAACTGTCTGCGGATTAAAGTGACATCCATATCACCCAACATCCAAAAAATCGTGACTGATGGAAGATGCCAGTTTTCACTTTAAGTGAGTAGCCTACTAAGCCTGGAAAATTGTCATTAATCACTTACCCCCATTTCGTTCCAAACCCCTAAAAGCTTCGTTCGTCTTCGGAACAAAATTTAAGATATTTTGGATGAAAACTGGGAGGCTTGTGACTGTCCGATTGACTGCCAAGTAAATTACACTGTCAAGGCCCAGAAAAGTATGAAAGACATCGTCAAAATAGTC